GCTTGTACCTGCTAAAAAAACATCTGTTTTGGTTCTGATTATCATGTTTATCGCGCTGAAATCATGCGTTTAACCCACGAGTTTAAACTTCTGAGATATGATTTTCTGAGCGCACACATCCGAAGCACATGGACAGAAAGCGGCCACCACACAGCATTGTGAGTACTAAACCAAGTTCTCATTTACACACAAGTTTACGTTTAAAAACACACGAGTTACAAAAACAGTCGGTTATGTCCGTGAACGCTTGCGAAATCAAAATGATGGTGCCATGGGTGGAAACGTGCAGATAAAGGGGTGGTAATATTATAATGAGATCCCGTTGCCACGTCACCAAGGGAGCGAAATCAGACACGCTTGTTTTCTCAGACGCTTGCAGAAAAAGGCTTACCTAAACAAAGTTACTGGGTTCAACTTTTTCAGGTTTCCTTGGTTGGTAGATGCACCGGGGGCCTGATTATAGCATTTAAAACCTGAAAAAGTCAGATTTTCATGATATGTCACCTTTAAAGCGCAAATGGTCTTTCATAGAAAAAAACACTCAAATGTCTATAGCAACATTTATATAACATTGTTGACAATTGTGCTTCTATTAATAGCACCTACATGCTAAAAAAACATCTGTTTTGGTTCTGATTATCATGTTTATCGCGCTGAAATCATGCGTTTAACCCACGAGTTTAAACTTCTGAGATATGATTTTCTGAGCGCACACATCCGAAGCACATGGACAGAAAGCGGCCACCACACGACATTTTAAAAGATAATACAAAAAAAAGTGTTTGAAATCAAAACAAAAAGTATTTGGACACTTTTTTTTATTGACTTAAAGGTGCTGTATGTTTTTGACTCTACTAAAGCATAAAAATACCATAATATGTTTGCAGATATTTAAGAAACATGCTACTTTAACATAATTGTTTATCTGAAATACAATGCTACAGTCAGTTATTCTCCTTTGAAAATGTGCATTCCGGGCGGAATGTCGGTCTCCGTTTTGGTTTGTGAAACCGGCCCACTGCCGTATTTAATTTCATTCATCGTCAAGTGCGCTCGTTCTTGTTGGTGTCGTCAATCTGGCAACCTGCGCCACAAACACAACATTTATCCATTATTTTGATTTCAAATCCAAACGTAGTTAGCCTATACTGAAAGTGCTTTTTTCAGCATTGTGATCCTCTTTTATCACAGTACAGTTAACACAATCTTTCATAGATATATTCACGTTTAAACTCAATTAATATAAACAGCGTATTAAATGCATTTGGCTTTTAGATGTGTATAAGTTGCTCAAGCAAGTGGAAACACATTTGAATATAGCATATAGCTTTCTTGTGTTAGGTTATCACAAATATTTTAAATTAAAACTTACCACTGACAGAAACAGTCGGCTCTCGTGCCTTTTACATTTAAATCTTTATTACAAACAGTCCAGCGGGTCTTAACGAACTTTGTTTTTCTACCTCCACAAGACACAAGTGCATATGTTGCCTTTTATATCTAAAAGTGCACTTTTATTTGTTTTAAACCTAGCCAACAAGCCCGTGAAACACAGTAGACTTTAATTATATCTATTTATTGTGAAATTACTACATTTCAGTCTCAATCCATGTTCATTTTTACCGCGAACAAAGCGCTGTCACTTTAATTCAGCGCGTGCAGCACAGCAAAAATAGACTCGGTGCGTAAACGATCGCTGCACTGCTGCAGACGCGCCGCACCTGGAACGCACTGACGGACCGCAACCGCGTGCAGTGTGAAAGCTCTAATCCGTTAACATGGGTGCGTAAAATAAAACGCAACGCACACGCACTGCAGACGGAGTATGTGTGAAACAGGCGTTAAAGTGACAGCGCTTTGTTAACAAACCTATATTTCATACAAATATACTTACCAGTCAAAAGTTTTTGAACAGTAAGATTTTTAATGTTTTTAAAGAAGTCTCTTCTGCTCACCAAGCCTGCATTTATTTGATACAATGTACAGCAAGAGCAGTAATATTGGGAAATATTTTTACTATTTAAAATAACTGCTTTTGATTTGAATATATTTTGAAATGTAATTTATTCCTGTGATGAATTTTCAGCATCATTAGTGTCACATGATCCTTCAGAAATCGTTCTAATATGCTGATTTGCTGTTCAAGAAACATTATTATTATTATTATTATTATTATGGTACTCCCGATGGCCAGTCCGAGCCCCTGCCCCTTTAATCGCTGACGCTAAAGTGGCCTTTCGGTCCGTTCTTTGTGCCCCCGCCCGGACCGCAATTTCTATTCCCCCCAGACCGCGATTGTGCCCTAGAAACTTTGCTTAGCCTCTGGCCCTCCGGAGGTCTGTGCACGTCACTGCTTTGAAGAATGTGGGTAACCAAACAGTTTTGGTCCCCATTGATTCTGATAGTATTTTTTTTCAGAAGCTAGTTACCCACATTCTTCAAAGCATCTTCTTTTGAGTTCAGCAGAAGAAAGAACTTAATGCAGGTTTAGTACAACCTGGGTAAATTATGACAGAATGTTCATTTTTGGGTGAACCATACCTTTAAAGTGACAGACACATCTGTGCTTCTAAAGGTATAGGCCTATTGTTTTATTAAAATTTGGATTGTCTGTTAATATATTCCATACGTTATCAGAGCTTGGTAGACATAATTATTACATTTTGGACATTATTAGACAGATGAATTAATAGACTATAATTAATGTTAGACCCTATTTTTTTTTTTTTTCATTTAAAATAATCATAAATATTTACATAATAAATAATCATGTCATATACAATTTGGCATTTTAAAAAGAAAAAAAAAATTGCTAAATTAGATTTTAAAAATGGGACAAATAATTACATAATAATGTAGTCCTAATTTAAGCAAATGAATAATAAAAAAACAAATAAAAATTCATCCCATCCAGGTAACAGCTGCACAACTGTCAAAAAAGACTAATAATAATTAATAATTATAAGTAATCAACTTTACAATAACAATATTAATGTGTTCTGTTGCAAGTGCACATACTTGAGCATGTTTTCTCATGGTTTATTGTTGAGCTATGAGTTCCTCACTGATTATTTGTGTACTTGTTTTTTTTTTTGTTTTGTTTTTTTGGAGGGGGGGGGCTGTCACTGGGCGTGAATGGGTGTCCCTTATTTTGCCTCGCTGAAGGTGGCACTTTCTAAAGGGGAAGTGCTTAGGGATGTTTGCGAGTGCGTGTCTAAAACTGGAGTGGAATGTAGCCAAATTGGCAACAACAAATGTTATAATATGTGATGTTTTATTAACAAATTTCGGGAGTAGCATGCGCAGATAATCAACCCGGCCAATTCACTACCAGTAATCACATCATCTATCCAACCACCACGAGAGAGAACCACTATAAATAATAATAGCAGCCTTACCTTCATTCTCTCTAGTCTTTCAGCATCCCTCCACCACCCCGACTCCTCACCGTCGACCCATTCCTACGGGGGGAGCGCTCTGCGTTCGGGCAGATGCCGAGCTCGGAGCCCTCTCCCCGGACAGGAGGGGAGTGCCCCGGGTTCGGGAAGAATTACCGAGCTCGGAGCCCTCTCCTCGGACAGCACGCCAAATACGCATACTATTCTTCTTGCTTTATTATCTGCAAGGCGAACTCATTAAGTCATGGACGGCCACAAGATCATTTTGTTAAGGTAACAACATCCTTATGCCGTGGCCATGCGACCCTATGTTGAGTGAACATCATTTTCTCATGGCCAAGAGTTTAATGCGTAAACAAACTTTATGATTATCCCAGGTTGCTATGGTTATGCATAAACTCGTGGCCATGACATAAGGATGATCTTATCAAAATGATCTTGGTCCACCCACAATAAATTTATCATGTTTCTGTGAGATGTGTGCGTCTTGACGCTAGAATGTTTCAAAATGACAAATGCATGCAGCATTTAGGAAGTGATCAACAAATGAAGTTCTGTATCATTTGGTAACATTTTTATTGAGAAAAATTACTAAATGCACCTTTAGGAGAAGTATGATTTGAACACCATGAAATGACAAAACTGCTCTGTCTCTTACACAGGTGAATGTCTTTGGGTTTGGGGCTTCAAGTACTGGAACCTGGCATCATTACTTTGACAAAACTCGCACTCACTTTAAAGGCGGCCCTCATGGTGGAGACTTTGAAAACAAAACAATGCATCAACTTCAGCAGAGAAACAAGATTTCAGTATATAAAGGGTATAGATAAAAAAGACCAGGAATGGATATGTTTGGTTTAATGTGTTAACAACCTAACAACCCGTTAACTTGTGGAAAGTGATAATATGTTTTGGGCAGCAATGAAGTTATTTTGTCAACACCTTTATTTTGTGGCCATGTTACGTTCCGTGGTTATTTATATAATGTTGGATTATGTGTGCTGTGGTGTGTTTTCTCTCTCTCTCTCTCTCTTTCTGTGTTGTCCAGTGTGTTACCTGCTGCTCAACCAGGTGTGGAGGAGAGGGAGGTGATCGCTCGCACCTGCAGCCCATTACTGTGCAGAGGCTGCAAACTCAAATGTTGTTCAACATGTCTGCCATATTGAAGCTCGTCTTCCAGAGTGTTGTTCCTCTTGCCTGCCCTGTGTTTGTTGTGTCATAGATATTGGTCTTGTGTATACTTATTCAAGTTACGGCTTATTGTAGCCTTCTGAACAGGCCATTAGCGATGTTGTTGTGCTATGTGACCCTGTGTGTTGGAAGCTGTAGGGAGGTGGGTGCCATTTTATTTCTGTGAATCCTTTTTCTCCCGTTTTTGCTTCGCTAGGGAGTTTGCTTCGCTTAGTGTACATTTCTGTTGTTAGTTTTCTTTTATTTTGTCAGTTTAGACGGTTTTACTCCCTAACTATTTAGAGGGTCCTTTTGTTTGTTGTTTTGGCCTTCCCCCTCCTGAAGGCTATTTTTACTTCCTATTTTTATTTCTATTTTACATGACCATATGTTGATAAAACTACATCACTTCCAAGAGTTTAATGCGTTAACAAACCTTATGATTATCCCAGTTTCGCTAGTCACGCAGGTTTGTTTACGCATTAAACGGAGAAACAAGACTTCTAAATATAAAGGGATAAATAAGACAGTTCTTCCATTTAATGAAGGGTCTCAAAATGGAGTATACCAAAACACCTACAAAATGAATGTGAAAATGAAAGACAAATACATATTTTAATATGAATGTTAGCTAACTATGGTAACTGTTTTGAGAGCTGTTGCAATGCCGTATAATGTTCTACTCTTATTTATAATGCTTTACTGTATCTACACACTGTATATTTTATGTATTTTATGCTGTTCTTGTACTAAAGTAGCTTACTAATCTGTAAGACATCTGGAATGTTTTTATGGATCTTCAAATGCTAGTTTGGTTAAAATTAAAAATTAAAAGGATGAGCCCTTTAAAATGCTGTGCCACAAATTCCTGTACCAGTAAGAAATGTCAACACAAAACAAAAACTTTTTTCATATTGTTTAATTGAGAATATTCACATATAAACCAACAGCTCCCAAGGCCAAAGTATACTTCGGCGTTCGCCCGTACAGCAGCCCATGCACAAGGAAAAAGGCTTCAGAGATGCATGCTTTTTCCAAATACCCACACGTGTGGTCTTTGTGCTTGACAACTTAGGCTATATGACGTGTTTCCTGTATTTGGCCCAAGTGTTCAATTGAGGATGAAGACCACAAGTGTGTGTCAAACTTTTCATTAGGCCTGATTATAGTGTTATAAAATTGCAAGTTTACATAGCTTTATTTTAATTTTAAATATGCCTACTTTGCTTTTTAAAAAATCTACTCCTAAATGTTTGTTCATTATTCCCTATAACATGACACAATTTAATTTTTGTTGCTTCTAATTAAGTGATAAAAAGCACAACATGCATTTATGTCCAAACACCATTTAAAAGTGGATTTTGCATAATAGGTGCCCATTAATTTAACACCTTTATATGAGGTTTCCCATTCAAACATGACTGCATCATGTTGAACAGACTTGAAACACATGTTTTGCCTTAACTTGATGTTTTCATGTCGAAAGAAAATTGCAATCAAATAACTCAGAAATTAATTTGATGTAGCCTATACCTTACATCTATGGCTGACCACAAAATATTTAAAAGAAATGTAAACTTACTCCATGGATTCTAATTTCTTTTAAATAATGTTTTCGGAGAAAAAAAAAGAGGGATGCACCGATGTATCGGCTGCCGATATTTATCAGCCGATTTTTGATCATTTTAAAGCCATCGGCATATCGGAAATAGCATAAAAAGGGCCGATACCGATGGTTTTATTAATTAACTACATGGAGACAAGGAGTTGCATGTCTGTTGCATAATCCCATGTTTTTCTCTGGGCAAAATAATTAAATATTTGCCAAAACAAAATAAAATCTGTACAAAATCTAGTTTGTCAGAGGGCATAAGCCATATTCAAACGTGCCGCTGGATATGTCACCAACCGCCAACCATTAGGCCTACATTTAAGTGAAAATGAATGGCAAGTAATACTAATATGCAGCTTTTTGTTTGAAACCAGTGTAGAAAACGGATTCACACAAAGTCACATCACGCACATGCAGCATTTCTGTGAACGGAGACAACAGAAAAACTATATAGGCTACATAAAAAGGAATATGCCTATACACAAAATATATTTCACTTAAATCATTAATAGATTAACAAAACGAAAGAAAAAAATTGTGCTGAGTTTCTGATAATTTTAACGCAAGTTCACGAAAAAAAAAACGGTGGTTTCTACGGTGGCCGAGAGGGCTCAACGTGCTGCAAATAGAAAAAAAACACCTGTAAATTAAGAAAACAACTTCATTAATTTGACAACACACGTGCTGCAAATGCTCACAACACAACCCAATAAAGAAATGCACTGCAAATAGAAAAAAGCGCATGCAAATTAAGAAAACAACTTCATCAATTTGACAACAGGCAAGCTGCAAATGCTCACAACACAACCCAATAAAGAAACGCACTGCAAATAGAAAAAAAACACCTGCAAATTAAGAATACAATTTAATCAATTTGACAACACACGCGCTGCAAATGCTCACAACACAACCCAATAAAGAAACGCACTGCAAATAGAAAAAAAGCACCTGCAAATTAAGAAAACAACTTCATCAATTTGACAACACACGCACTGCAAATGCTCACAACACAACCAAACAAAGAAACACGCTGCAAATACAATTCTTTATTTGGTTGTGTTGTGAGAATTTGCAGTGTGTTTCTTTATTTGTTTGCGTTGTGAGAATTTGCAGCACCTGCTGTCAAACTGATGAAGATGTTTTCTTGATTTGCTGGTGCTTTTTCTATTTGCATGTGTTTTCTGAAGTTGCAGCGCGTTGAGCTCTCTCGGCCACCGTAGTTTTCTTTGTTTTACAAAAGCTTTAGTTCCCTCTCGTAGGTTCACTTCAATGCTGCGATGACGTCATCGCTATGGGAACATCTCCGGTCTGACAAATGTCTGAAGCCCTTATACCATCATGCCAATTTATTGGCCAATAGCGCTTAGCACCGCCCCAAGCATACATATGCTCATATATGCATGCTGCGCGCTATTTCATCAAATTTTAATTCCTTCAGGAAGCGAATGATCTGTTGCCCGTCAGAAAGAGATTCTTGTGTTCTAAGTCATCTATTTATATAGAGCAGTTTACTCCTCTAAGGCGGACACAATGAGTTTTCCGGTATGTATGGATGCATGTTACAGAGACTCACGAGGAAACAGGTAGGAAGACCGCTTTTGTGACACCCTAAAGTATGTACACATTTTGGGTATTGTGATTTTGGAAGAAAAAGTTAATTTTTCTTATATTGTTTTCATTTTACATGTAGTTGATATGTTGAATGTAATGGGAAGCTGAAAACAGTTAAATGTGAGTCATTGTCTATTGCTGAGTGAGACCGGGACTCTTATTCTGAAAATGAGCTGGATGACTCTTATTTTGGCAATGAGCGGAGAACTCCCAGGAGCAGTGTTGCGCTGGCGCCCTCACAATTGCTGGGGATTATGTGCGACACGGACATATGTACTCCTGTCTCCTCAATTTTTCCAGTTTTTACAGGTATGACATTCAACAACGAAAAACAATATGCGACGAGGACATCAAGGAGAAGAGAGGTTCAGAGGGCTGGTAACTGTGCGAGTGGTTCGAGGGACCGTGGTAAAGAGATCATCATGGTTGATCGGGTACGCAAAGGCCTGGTGTGGGACATCAGGAAAAGGCTACTCAACCTGTCTGCCGTTGAACTGTTCCAAGTCGCCAAAAGCATCGGTCCAATACCAGAAAGGGACTTCTCAGAACTTGACGTTGCAGATCAAGAAGGCTGTCTTGAATAAGTGAATGCCTTTTCTTGTACAGCACGCACCTGTTAGAATCAGAGGACAGAGGTATGACTGAACTTTTGGTTTTACAAGGGACTGTTGAAGCTGTTGTGCAAGAGCATGGTGCGGAAGCGCCATGTCATCGTCATGGTGAGGTTGAAAGTAATGTTGATGTTGATGTATGCCCTGCACCTACTTCATTTACATACACCTCTCCATGTCCCATGATCACCATAGACACTGTACATGTAGAATCGCCTAAGACTGCATTTGACTTAGGGAAAGTTAGAGTGTTAGATACAAATCCAAGCACCAGGGACGACCAGTGACCGAGTCTCATATGTCCCAAAGCCATGAGTATTCCATTTCAGGGATCAAACCTGACCCTGTAAAATGTAAATCCCCAAAAGCATATCCTTGCAGTAAAAACCAAACACCCAGTGACAAAGGAATGTATCAGCAAACTGATAGTCCATCGCCGCCCGAAACTAAGAAAGAAACTATTGTTAAATTGATAGGGAAGAAAGCCTAGCTCAATGTAATCTCAATGGCCTCGCGGTGACCGCATTGATTGATACCGGGGCTCAAGTAAGCATGATCGATAGAAACTGGAAAGACAAATACTTACCCACTGTAGAAGTAAGACCTCTTGTGGAGCTAATGGGAATGACAGAAAAGTTAGAAGTTTATGCTATTAATGGAGATCTAATACCCTTTGAGGGGTGGGCTGTCATTACCGTCAACTTACAGGGAAACGACAACCCCGACCTTTCCATTAATGTGCCTTTTCTGGTAGGTCACATCCCTATAGAGAGGCCGTTACTTGGCTTTAACGTAGTAGAAGAGTTAATTCAGGGCCAACCAGAGCGTTTAGTTAACACTTTAGTTTCATTGCTCTCCAGTGCAATAGCAGTATCAAGTGAGGAAGCCCGGACCCTGGTTAGTTTTGTACAGACCCCTGAGCATAGTGAACAGTGGGGGCGGTTAAGAGTAAGCCGAGAAAATGTTCTGATACCGGCAGGTCAGGTAGCCTGGGTAAAGTGCAAAGTGCCACCAAAAATGGATCAGTCTGACACTGTAGACCTGTTTGAACCAGAGGAGGATAATGTACAGTTGGAGCAGTTGGATATATGTGAAGGACTGTTGGAAGTTCAAAGCTCTTACGTTACGGTCCCTATCGGCAACCACTCAACGTGTGATATTACCCTGCCTCGTAACAGTATCCTAGGGTACGTCCAACCTGTAAAGGCAGTGTTGGAAGTGGACAGATCCAAGGAAACGAGGGACAGTGGGAAGGTCAATAGTGCAGCGGTGGATGAAAGCTCGACCCTGTGGCACCCACCTGTAGATATCAGTCATCTGAATGGGGATCAGCAAGCTATGATCAGGCAAATGCTGCACGAGGAGTCTGCATCCTTTGCTCGAGATGGAAATTATGTTGGCTGCATCCCGAGTCTTCAAATGTCCATTAATCTTAAAGACGACATACCAGTACAACGTGCTTATTCCTCAATACCCAAACCGTTGTTCAAAGAAGTAAAGGATTATATCCAAGACCTCCTAGCAAAAGGGTGGATTGTAAAATCTAAATCCCCGTACTCCGCTCCAGTAGTCTGTGTGCGGAAAAAGGATGGCTCACTGCGCTTGTGTGTGGATTACCGCCTACTCAATAGAAAGACCGTACCAGACAGGCACTCTTTGCCGAGGATTCAGGACCTGATCGACACCCTGGGAGGGTATTCGTGTTTTAGCATCCTTGACCAAGGAAAAGCATACCACCAGGGATTCATAGCCGAAGGTTCGAGACACATGACCGCCTTCATCACTCCGTGGGGGTTATACGAGTGGGTGAGGATCCCATTCGGCCTGTCCAACGCACCCGCGGCGTTTCAGCGCAGCATGGAGGAGATGCTGG